GAGCCATCTCTGCAGCCCATGACTTTATTTTTTTTTTGCATACCGTTAGACTACATAAAATCCCCAAATCTGTGAGTCAGGTTGGAGGGCCAGACCTGGACCAACTTCATTTGGAACATAACTGGAATCCAGTTCAGACCCAGATCTTCTCTCCTGGAAGACTGTTGGCACCCAGCATACAGGATGCAGAACGGAATGTGCTTGCTTCAGACTAATCCAGGCAGATGTTGCCAGTGCCATGTGATGAAGACTCACACTAAGGTTTCTGGAGGATTCCATTGTTAGCTTTCTTTGAGAGGATAGGTGAGAGAGGTCAGGTACTGCTGGTAATCTAGGTCTTACTCCCATACCTGGAGACTTCCTGGTTGAACAGGAGCCTTGCAGGGCATGGAGGCAGCCCCACATACAGTGGCCAGGCTAAATGTAGGACCCTGTTCCCTGTCCAGAGTTGTCCTTATCCTGGCACAAACAGGAAGTCGGGGCTATTGTCTTCCTTTCTTGGCTTTGACTACACCTCCCCCCCACCCCCCAAGTTTCTCCTGTCTCAGTCCTTCCCAATAATACCTAGATCTTTTCTTTTTGTGGATATATTACAAGGCACTAAGAAAATTACAAACTGGATCTCCCACTGGATGTTCCCTCACAACCCTGGCCTGTCTCAAGGTCTTTTCAGCAGAGCAGACCAGGTCTTGTCACACACTAGCCATGGCACCTCTCAGTCCCTTCAGTCATCTCTATTATCAGGGTGGGTCCTCACTCCAGAAAGAATGAGGAGATATCCACACGGAGGGGGGGCAGCTGGGGGCTGGCTATATAAGAATGGGGACTTGTGGCCTCAAGTGAAGGAATACCTGGGGGCTGCCAGAGGCTGTAAGATTCTGGATGCTGGAAGATGCGTGGCACTGTTCCTCCCGTAGAATACTTGGAACAGACCAGCTTTGTGGACATGGAGGCTTCAGACTTCCAGCCTCCTGAACATTGAGAATAAACTTTTGTTCTTTCAAGCCATGAGGTTTGTGGTAACATGTCACAGAAGCCTTAGGAAACAATATAGTAACTGTGAC